TATATATATATATATATATTCGTTATTAGTAAAATATAATTATCTGGAAGCATATCTATATAATAATGTTGTATTTTCGAAAACATAGAAAATGTAAACGTTAAAAAATAATGTATGTAAACTTTATTATAAATTAAAAAATGAAAATTTTTTATTTATTATTTGCGTTAAACTTCATGATTATCATTAAATTTTTTTCTATTATTATGAATTTTTGTAAGCTTTTGTAAATTAACTTTATTTAGCTTCTCCTACATACAATTATTACAGATATTAATTTAATTAATTTATATTTGAACACAGCTTGTCTTATATTATATTACTCCTCTGATTAAACATATCTTATTAATTGAATTGATTATAATTAACAATTATTTTACTTGTAATCGAACAGACACTTTTTCTATATCATTTAATTAATTTGATTTTAAAAAATCATGACGAGAAAGAGATAAAAGAAGAAGAACAAGCATTACCATGCGTCTCAGATGAAATGTAATTTTTTTTTAAGCATACGCAATACGCAGTAATTTGTTAAGACATGCATAAAACATTATTAATATCGAATGATTATTTACGTCATTGGCGACGGAAATTGCGTCATAAGCCCGCCGTTCAGCTTCCCTTTGTGCGGTTATCGCTGCATGTTGTTCCGCGATTCTGTGGTACAATTCATTATATTTGTCCTTCGCTTTTGCCACGCTCGTTGAATCCTGCAATACAATATTAAGTATAGCAATAAAAAAACAAATTATTCAAAACGAATAATCTAACGAAATCAAAATATAATTTTTTATCGAGATATTGTCGGATGTATTTTTCGAACAAATAAAGCTCTTTTTCATTTTCTTTAATCGTCTTTTTAACGAGAGACACGATAAAGTGATTTTGCAGCATGACAATGCTCGACCCCATGTTGCGAAAGTGGTCAAGACAAACGTTGAAATGGGAAGTCCTATCCCACCCGCCATATTCTCCAGACGTTGCTCCCTCTGACTACTACTTGTTTCGATCAATGGCACACGGCCTGGCCGGTTCCGGTCTTATGAAGAAGTAAAAAATTGGATCGATTCGTGGATAGCCTCAAAAGGTGATCAGTTTTTTCGACGCGGGATTCGTACGCTACCCGAAAGATGGGAGAAAATAAATGGCCAGCGATAGACAATATTTTGAATCATAAATGTATAATCAGTTTTTTACAATAAAGCCTCGAATTTCAGAAAAAAAACGGCGGAAACAAAGTTGTACACCTAATAGAAAATGAACATGATTCATTTCGAGAGATTCATCTGTCTCTAGGTTATGAAATTTCATGACATTTCGTTCATTCGTTTAGAAGCTACAGTCGTTTAAGTGGCGCTTTCGCCTTTGTTCTGTACCATCACGATAACGCACCGTCACACACGTCCTTGAAAGCGAAAAGCCAAATTGGACCAATTACGATTCAAATTGGTTGCTCACCCACCATATTCTCCAGACTTGGCTCCCAGCGACTATTATCTGTTCCCAAACCTCAAGCGGTGGCTCCAGAGAAAGAGATTCACATCGAATGAGGAATGTAGCCCTCGTAATGACGAACAAATCTCCTGAACAAGCCTGAAAATGTTCATTAATTTTTGCAAAAAAGCCATTTGTTCACTAAAAATCTGTCTGCGGAAAGCTTAATTTCTTTGAGTAGTCGTACAGCAATTTACAGGGATTTTGCTTCTTCAAGGGTTACACTATCACGTACACTAACAAAATGACTTTATGCACTTCAACTATTAGAAAACGCCTTTGAAAAATACATATTTTTTTCTGTATAAAAAAACGGAAATAATTTCGTTAATGTGCATCTATGTAATATGCATATTAAATAGCGTGTGAAGCATTTGAAATTTGACATTTTCCTATGAATTTAAAAAAAAATTACCTTCGATTATTAGGAGTCGAGATAACAGTTTTTTTCAAAAAATCACTATGACTCTAGTTTTTAAGATTAAGAGTTTCCGTCTGGCACCAATTTGTCAAAGAAGAATTGAATATGTTGTTAAAAAAATCTCGAATTGTAATCATGAAATTTTCAGTTTAGAAAATTTTTTCTTTTTTGAATTTTTATTTTTCGGTTTATTTTTAAAAAATGTTTGAATATGGAACGCATGTCTGATTAACAAATTTAAATCATATTAGTTTCTATGTTTCTTTATTTCTATGTTTCTTTCTATGTTTCTTTATTTAATATGCTGTAAAAAATGTCCAATTGGATAATTAAATGTACGGAATTATCAATATAAAATTGTTTTTGTGAATTTAATTGCAGATGCAAATATGACATATGTAAACAAATAATTAATAAGTAATTTGCCAAATGTTAGCATAACTGTTAAAAGATATAACACTAACTTTTGCAAATATAAAAGTAAATTAGTGTTACATGAAAAATATTTTGCAATTCTATTCAACATTACACTAACATTTAGCAAATTATTTATTATTTGTTTACATATGTCATATTTGTATCTGCAATTAAATTCATAAAAATAATTTTGTACTGATAATTCCGTATACATTTAATTGTCTTGGATACTTTTTACAGCATTAAATAAAAAAACATAGCTAATGTAACTTAAATTTGTTAATCAGACATGCATTCCATATTTAAACGTAATTTTTTAGTATATATATATATAATAAAAAGCCGAAAAAATAAAAATTCAAGAAACAAAAAATTAAAAATTTCATGATTACAATTACTTTGGATTACAATTACAATTCAAGAAACATTTGGTTAAATTATTTGTTTATATCTTGTCGAGCTACACCAGATTAAAAAAAATCAAATTTCCACGTCAATTTATTGTTGAGAAAATATAAATTTAGCAAATTTAAACAAATCAAATACGCAAATTGCCGAGCGGACCAATCTTCCCCACTCGACTGCGCGCCGGTTTTCTTCCAGGGTTATTTTGTTTAAAACTTTTTTTTTAAACAAATGTTTTTATCAGATTAAATTAAACATGCTTTTTTTTAAAATAATTTAAAACAAATGTTTAAAACGTTATTTTTTAAATGTGTTTTTAATATTATTTAGTAGAGGAGAAGGTGATACTCCAACTACATTTTACACGATAACTTGATTAATAATGAATATTTAAGTTTAAAATTTAACAGTTACATTCATTAAAATGTTGTTGATCAATTCTAGGCTCAAAATTACGAAATATTACTTAGGACACTATTAATAAAAATATGACAACATTACATAATGGCGAAGAGAAACATAGATGATAATGTGGCTTTCCATAAAAATAGTCTTAAAAAGTTAGTTTTGTTTAGAAAACAGTAATTTGGTTATAAAATTAACAAAAAATGTATTGCAAAAAAATGTATATACATGTATACATATAACTTTATGTATATAGGGTATTTGGAAAATAACGATAAATCTTTCGCATAAGGGCAGAATGGATTAAATTGAGAAGAAAAGGACTCTACTATTTTGCAATTTTCGTAATAGTTAACAAAATATTAATTGTTAAAAATTGATGAAAATTAGCCTTCAAAATTTTTACTCAAATACTCAACTTTACAGAAAAACTGCAAAAGACAAAAATTGTTTATTTTCTTCTCATAGAACTCTACGAATTGAATTTTTTATCAACTTTTTAATATTACACTTTCTCATTTTTACCAATATAAGAAAATATAGTATTAAAAAATTCTTAAAAAATTCTTAAAAAATTCTTAGGGCTCTATGAAAAGAAAATTAATAATTATCTCTTGTAGTTTTTCTGTAAAGTTGATAGTATTCAAGTATTTAAGTAAAAAATTATTAAAAACCAATTTTCGGCAATTTTTATCAATTAATATCTTGTTAATTATTGCTAAATGATAGACATTGCTTCGCTTGCGTTCTTCAACTTTTCAATGGTTTTAAATAAACTTTTTCGGCAGCAAAAAATTCGAGTTTTTCAACAGCAAAAGTTTAATTCTTCCTTGACAAATTGGTGCCAGATCGAACTCTTAATCTTAAAACTAGAAGTGATTTATTGAAAAAAAAAATTATTATTTCTTCTAATAATCGGAAAGTAATCTTTTTTTCTAAATTTTTTAGAAAAATGTCAGATTTCGAATGCTTCACACGCTATTTAATATGCATATTAAATAGATGCATATTAACGAAATTATTTTCGTTTTTTTATACGGAAAAGGATATCCACTTTTTAAAGGCGTTTTTATAATAGTTTAACTTCAAAAAGTCTTGTTATTAAAGTTTTGTTATTAAGTGTACGTGATAGTGTAATTCTTGAAAAAGAAAAATCTTTGTAAATTGCTGTGCGACTGCTCAAAGAAATTAAGCTTTCCGCAGACAGATTTTTAGTGAACAAATGGCTTTTTTGCAAAAATTAATGAACATTTTCAGGAGAGTTATTCGTCATTATGAGAGCGACATTTTACGAGAATTTCAAAACTTTGCGTTTAAATCGCAATAAACAGAGAGAAAAAAGGCTT